TATATATATAAAAGACTGTTTTTCTAAGTAATCTAGAATCTAGCTGCAAGGACCCGCTTCGCTGGGCAAAAAGTAACGATAGTGAAGATTAAGATAATTACATTATAGCTAATCTTACCCGTTTTCACAAAATGCAAGAATTAGGTCCCCCGTTTCCAGACTAATTAGAGAATTTTTACGTTTAGTCCAACAAACAAATTTCAACGTTTCTGGAACGTTTTCAATCGTTCTATAATCGAACCAATTCGAATTTTATGTTTGAATTTAATTCGAACAAATTCGAAAAAATCGAACAAAACATTCGAACTAGAAAGCTACTTTCAACCACTTTCAGCCTCATATCTCCCGCACCCTTATAGCTATCGAGACGCAACCACCCCTATGCACAAATGGAGACTTGGGGCTACCACCACATACAAACACCATTCACGTGCGATGTGTAGTTTTTACGAAAAAGTGAGATATAGGGACATACATGTCCATTTTTATATATATATATATAGATATAGATAAAAATACATACATACAGTCTTGCATTTTTATTAGTCATTTTTTTCCATTTGAAAGGAGTAAAGAATCTGTCTAATGTCAATTGCTTTTCTCTCTTCTTCGGGATTTTTCAAAGTAATTAATAGCATTGCAATTGTAGAAATCCCCAAGCCTCAACCTGGTTTAAATGCCATTCTAAGACCATTGTTCTGACATCCTCACACTTCTTCAAAGGATCTTTAATAACAGATATCGTCATTAATCCTCTTTTTCAGAAGAAAACATATCTCGCTGATTTTCTTGGTGTTCTTCATTCAAGAGTTCTTGGCATTCTTCTGTCGTCAGATCCATTTCAGGTTCCATTATGAACTCTTTGATGCTCTTTATTTCTCAGGTGTGGTTTTTGTTACTCCTTTAGCTGCTTGAGTCTTCTTGATTATACAGTATTTTTCTTAAATAAGATTAAACTGCAGCCTACTGTAGACCTATTCATGTCATACCGTCCAGAAACATTAGGCATCTTCTGCCCACTCTCTACCTTTGCTATTATACTCTCACCTTTCGAAAAAAAAAAAAAACAGACATAAAACCTAATGAGTGCCTATCCGACAGTCTCGCAAATACATAAAAGAATTGTTTTGTCAGAAAAATAAAAGGCTGGAATTACAAGGGAGAGTTTCAAAGTTCGGAGGAATACTACCCAATCGGTATATACTGGCTTGAGCATCAATGTCGACGTCTCCCACACTCCGAAAAGTTTAGAATTGTTGCCTGAAGACAAGGGAAGACCAATCGGTATTCATTATTTTACTTCTTGTGTTTGTTCTGTGTGGTGTTCGTTGTCCGAACATAAAAATCTTTCGCGAAAGTGTTCGTTATCCGATCACCCACTGTATTATGTCAGTCTTATATGATTAAAAGATTCTAATCAAATTTCAATTTGATTGCTTAAATATAAAATTTTCATTACAGTGTTTTTTTAACTTTAAAAATAGCTTTAAGTATTAAAAAAAAGCTAAGTAACATATCAGTCATTTGAATAAACAAATGAAAAGCATATTTATTCATCAAGAAGTTCAATACTATATATCCTATTTACAAATAAATTTATGAATTGACTAGCTAATAATCTAGTTTTTTCCTAATATAGTATCACTTATGCAAAGATATGCAAAAATCAATTGCCAAACAGAAGGTATTGAGTCCATTAATGAGTAATCATAAAAACACACTTCATGCCAACAATCATATAAAATAATTAACAAAACAGTGTAGCAATGTTACAATTATAATTTATTAGCACAGAAATGTTTGAAAATTAATTGTATTCGATTTTTTTTTCAGGATGGTGGCTGTAAGCCATTGAAAGTACTAGCAAGTACTTCTTAATTATGCTAATAAATTGTAATTGTAATGTCGTTACACTGTTGTGTTAATTATTTTACATTAGTGAATAATTGCTTATTACAAAAACTTTTTATTTGTTGTTTAACCAGCCTTGAGAAGACCACTCAAAAAGTTTTAATTACTTCAGAATAGAAGCAAAAAAATTTCTTTGATGAATTATGCCAAAATATTTCAACATACTGTATACCTTTTCTATGTCCAGAACACCATATCAGATCAAGAATCTTTCTATAACTATGTTTTCCAAATTCACTATTAGGTAGGCAATATTTCAAGTTTGCCTTCTCTGTACAATTGCCACATCTGCTTCTGTAAATTATTAGGTAAGATGCAATAGCCTGTAACCAATCCGCTGCTGCTACCGGCAAGTGGCAACATTCCATAGCCACAAATTAATGATCAAACATGGATTACAGTGGTACCTCAGGATACAAACGCCCCAGCATACAAATTTTCAGGATACAACACGAAATTCGAACATATTTTTGCTCCACTCACCATACGACGTTACATTAGTTCGCAGCACCATTTTTTATTCACTTCTGTTCATTGGTCTCAGTCCGCATGTTTGCTTTGTCGTGGAAGGATCTCACTCGATAAAGAAAATCTTGACGTATTATCAGAAAGTGGCTAATTTTATTGAAAAGAAACATCCTGAAAAGGTTCACACTGGCTGTATTGCTGCTCGGTTTAATGACATTTGCCTAAGTCATTTTAGAAACATTTTAAAAAGTAGGCAAAGCCAAACCTCTTTGGATAGATATTTTACCAAGCAAACTCTATCCAGCGAAAGTGCTGGTGGAAGTGAAGGAAAGAAAGCAAAAAGTGAATAAAAATGTAAAAATAAAAAAATATATATATATATATATATTTTTATATAGGAGGGGAGAACGGAAATGATACTAAAACTTAACTTACATAACATAATGTAAAAATACAGTAATACCCTGAACTTACGCAATAGGTGGGACTGAGCGATAACTGCATAAGTCAAATTCGGGTATAATTTTGCAATTTGTGTAAAATCCAAGTCGGACGTATGTAAGCTAATAAATGTTCTCGTTAATCTTATCTCGTCTTTTGATTCGTTCACGGTTGCAAGAAATCACCACATAGAGTCTCTCAAGTCTCTGTAGATATAACAAACACAGAAATAAATAACACAAAATAAATTGTAGCTATGTGTCGATTCCACGCGATACGTCCAAACATGTAAGTTGAAGGGGGGAGTGTGGGGGAAGTGAGTAATCAAGAGTTGCGTGGCGCTCTAACAAAAGACAAATCGACAAGATTTGAAAATCACATAACTCTGGGTCGCGTAAGTCGGGGTAGTGTAAGTCGAGGTATTACTGTAACTTAAAAATAACTTAAAAAAGATTAAAAAAATTAGTGTTGTTATATATATTAAGTTTAGTATCATAAGTTTTAGTATCATTTCCCTTCTCCGCCACCAGTTTACACATTCACCGTCATCTATCCTCAAAGGTAAAGTGCAAATAAAACTACATTTTTTTAAATCAATTATTATTCTATTATGGTTATTTATACATTTACAACTACAAAATGCATTTTTCAGTGTTTTCCTTATTATAGTTATTTTTTTTTTTAATGTAGACTACTACTTAACTTTAATTTGAGTGTGTGTTTCATACGATCTCAGTTTCAGAACGGATTAATTTCGTATCCTGAGGTACCACTGTATTACTTTTAAATTAGTGCACCATAGCAACTGGCTGCTCTGCTGTTACTACACAGCTACACGTCTGCAAAAATTTTGCTTGTCCGAATCATCCTTACAGAAAAACTTGATACTTGTTTGCTTGTTTGCAAATTGATTGGGCTAATGCTTCAGAAAAATAGCACAAGATCTTGGAAACAATGTAAACTTAATAGTTTGCAATTATTGCATTCAATATTAGGATCACATTAACTAGTAATAAAAATTATTTTACTATAAAAACGAACATGGCATTTGAGTTTAATCTGATGTAGTTTAAATATAAAAAAAAATACTAAAATCTGTTAAGAACGGAAACTTGCCAAAGAAGAAAACGGTACGGTGCAATTCCGCTTTACACAGGTTATTACTATATTATAATTAAAAACAACAACGTAGCAACATGGAAAAATATAATAAATAAAATGAATGGAAGATTTACCATTCTCTCGCAAGTCTTTTATAAGCTCTTTTAATATCTGGTATACTTGCACTTTTTTCAACACCTAAAGTCTTATAAGGATCTCTTAAACAATTTACAAAAACTATATGTACAAATAATAAAATGAATATAAATAACTTCATATTAAATATCAGGAAATACTTCAATAAATTAAAATGAATCCAAACTTAAGTAACACTAGCAGTGTTTATTTTTCCTTCATTCACTACTGCGCCACCTCTGGGCATAAATGCAACGCTTTCGAAATTTATATTTTAAATTAATTGTTATTTAAAAAAAATAATGTTAATATCAATAGTTTAGTATCGAAACATATTTTTTTTATCAAAAGAATCGATATTTGTGATCAAGATAGAAGCAGAGTCAATAGGGCTGTTCTAAAGTAGAGTTTTGTGTCAGGTTGCCGATAGATGCGCTCGAGTCGCTTTGCGGCGATAAGAAGTTAGTTTATCCAGTTGGTTAGTAGGTAGTTTTGTCGTTTTCGAGCATTTTTGTAACTTTTTTTCTACAATAAAAAAACAAAAGCATGCCGAATAAGTGTTTTGTGGCTGAGTGTAATTCTGATTACTGCAAATCTGATGAGAAATGTCATTTTTTTACATCACTTCCGAACCAGTTAGATAAGTGGAAATGTTTAATTGTGAAGCTCTGGACAGGTCTGAATCTTGTCTAAAATTTGCGTTAAAATTATTTTTTTAAAGAAAAAGAATAGAAGCTAGAAATAATTTTTTTTTGTATAAAAACGCGACGCGAACTTATAAACAATAGAAGAATGTAAGTACTAAGATCGACTATTTCCGATTGGGGGATGGAATTAAACATCGATTTTGACCTCTCCCGCGATTTAAGCTGATATTTCGTTACACTTAGTAACGAATGGTCAACCTCTTGGAAAGACAGAACGAGGAAAAGCCACCAATCGGAATGGGCGATCGTGGATAGAAATTAATAAAATCCCGGGAACTCAAGGTCGTGATGACTTCTTCCGAAAATTTTAAGTGTCGCAATTGTTGTGTATGTGCCTCATACTTATCTTCGTCTACGTTTCCCTTCTTCGAATCTACATCTTCCCATCACCGGAAGTCGACCGCATCGCCCCGGAGCGTGGAGACATCGAAGGAACTTTAATTTACGAATCAGGGGCACTCCTTTTCCGACTATCTTGGAAAGGAGAAGAAGACCTAGAGGCCGCCGCCGACTTTGACTTCCAAGATCGCGGAAATCTTGTAAGCTTCTTTTGTATCAAATAAACGGTTTCTTGTTACCATAGAGTCTGTCTCAGCAGCAGTGCCGATCGCCCACATACAACTCTTCGCGACTCCTCGACTTTTCCACCCCAGTCGGCAACCTTACATAATTTCTCGAAAAGATTTCCAACTCACAAGAAAATTGCTAATATATGATTTGCATCTCAATGAAAGATTTTTGAATTATTGCAACACTTCATTCTACACTTAACTTATTTATAAGAAAATCAGTATAACTTTTATAATTTGTCCCTGATTCTTGTTGCAATATATAATTTTATTTTTGTATATTAATTACTTACATATAAACTCTATTGTTTGAGATTTAAAAATAAAGTTTTGGGTCATTTATGATACAGTATTGTGAATATAAAAATTCGCGAATTAAATTAATATCGGGACAATCCTTATGAAGATAATCATTATCTACCATGCGATCTTTTTCAAGTAATGAATATATTTGAAAAATTAGCAATTCATTTGAAAAATATAGGTATTTTTATATAATCAATCGATATTAATCATTGTATTAAGAATACTGACATTTGAATGAATGATATCTATCAAATAAAGATAAACGTTTCTTAATATTTCGTCATTTTCTTGGTACACAAGGTAATGTTTTTAGTTATAAATTCAAGGTTTCAAATAATAACCAAAATAATACTAGACAATAAAACAATAATACCTAAAAACACAATGACAATTGCAAATTGTTTAAATTTTCTAAAAACTTCCTTCAAAAACAATCTTATATTTTTCCTTCTATTTTTCAGAAAATACCATTTTAGGAATTTTTCTAGAAACAGTTGGTTTTTTAATATATTTATTGATTATTAATGTACGAAAAAATATATTAAGAATAATTTAATTTACGCTTAATCAAAATATGGTAACACGAAAAATTATTTAGTTATTTATAAGAAAAATTATTTAAAAGGAAAATTAATAAGATTTTCATTCGCTAGATGTCACGCAATGCTATTTTTGAGTGAGTTCGTAAACCAATAGGCATAAGGTTGTAAATGACGTCATCAGGGTGGAAGTGGTTCGTTGGGTGTTGGTTTGGTGTTTGTGAACGTGTAACTCGGCAAAGATAAGGAATTGTTTAAAAAGACGACTTTTTGTTGGATAACTGACGATTGTAAACAACTATTTGTGTCATTAAATAATATTTTTGATGGATATACTTCGTCGGTGGTTTTCTTTAGGAATATCATACACGACTCCAATTTGTGATTTCCAATGTTCTATTTAGGTTATTAATTAATTTGGAAACGGGTTTGTATTTTATTAAATTAATTTTAATTTACTTCGAAAATTAAAAGAAAAAAAAAGAAAAAGGAAAAAAGAAGTATTAAAAAATTCCAGATGGCGCAAACTATTTCTGTACAAAATAAAAATGTTTTTTTTTTTTCCATTGTTTGGTAGTAATATCATTTTGGTAGCAATATTATTCTCTCTTACCAAATTTACACTGAAAATACATTAAATTAGGGTGGTAAATGTTTAGTAATAGCTGGTAAAAATTATAACGAAAGATACGTATTATTCCGACATCTTTGAGACAACCGACCAATGGCGTGATGTATAAGAGAAGGGAGGGAATATACTACTGCGTGCGCACGGTCTATCATGGAAGAGCTTGCTTTTGCACTACGCCGCGTGACGCGCGAGCTATGACGTCATCGGAGCATTGGCAGCGATCATAGTTGGATGGAAGTAGTTTTGCAACAGGGAAGATTAGAAAAGAAGGAATAACCATAACTTATCAAAACCGAAATCATGTATCATGGGAGAGATGTAGATCCGATGTGGACGGCGGTGCAAGATGGTTAGAGAGACTAGATACCTTTGGGTTGGAAATTTACCGCATAATATCAGAGAAGAGAGGATACTGGAACATTTTAAACGGTACGTGTGGATAAGAAAAAGCAAAAAAAAAAAAAAAAAATATATATTTACCTCCGGAATTTGTGATTCCCGGATATCTGTTGGATAGGTGTTTTAATTGTGTGTTGTGTGTGTGCATCTAAAGTAGTGGATATCCATATCTGCGGATGAGACCGGCGGCAGCGGAATCATTGGAATATTGCGTTGGTTCTCAAGCCGCCGACCTTCTTCGCGTCGTTCGTCTTTTTTATATCCCATCGATATATTTATTTACCAAAAAAAAAAAATAAAAAAAAATAAATAAAAATAAAAAATATTTATATATGTATATATAAATATATATCGAAAATTTTATCCTCCCTCTCGCATTGGAGAGACGAGGATGTGCCATACGCACGAACGGCATAGGCTTCATGTTCTTGACAGAATGTGATGTTACTGTAAGTAGAAATACCTATTCTTGTAAGAGTTTTTTTTAACTTGGTTTCCTAGGAAAAGGTATTTATTTTTTGTTTTTTTAATTAACATAACTAAAACACGTGACAGATTCAGGTAATATACGTATGCGTAAGATACTAATTATTTATTATTATTAANATTTAATCATTTTGTCTTCATGCCATACTGTTTACATACAATAAATATCTTTTTTTTATTTGCTTTCCTTCTTGGTGTTGCAATTTTAATGGCCAGCAGTGTGTGTATATATATATATATATATATATATATTTTATTTTGATAATTTAAAGATATTTTAAAAGGTAGGTTTTCTAGAGCGAATTATGTTCTGTTTACATCACGTGCTAGCCCTATTCTTGGTTATGGGTAGGCCTCGTTTCTAAACAGAACAATGCTTCCTATTCATTTATATTCGAATATTTTAAAGCGTAAATTTCTTTTGATTATATTCAAAAAAAGAAAAAATATATATCTGAGAAACAAAATAGGCGTTTACATTCTTATCAATTGCGGAAATATTTCCACGAGATTATACGAATTTCATCAAGTTTCAATGTTATAAGAATAAAGAAGAAAAGTCTTCAGTTTCATTTTTATATGTTATGCTGACATATGCTAGAAAATATGAATAAATAATTAAAGAATTAATATATTTTTATGTATAAACATATTGTAAAAGATGAAGGTGTTTAAACAAACATTAAATTAAACAATGGATGCTTATATAATTCTATATAAAGAATATTGACAAAAATATATTTGGAATAAAAATTTAAGAATATTTTTAATTATAAACCTTGTTTTTATTTGAAACAATCTACTAAACAAGTTTATTACATTTTAAAATAAATTTTTTTAATTAATCAGAATTTTTAAATAATTAAAGATATCTTTCTTATAATAATTAATATACTGGTAAGTAAAATGTTTTAAAGCTTTAATATGTTTAGTTTATTATAAAACAAAACAATTCCTAAGTCATTTATTTAATGACCCAAATGTATAATCTATATATTAAATTGTTAATAATAATATCCTAAATTTTTACAAAAGATATAGCAAAATAATTTGAATTGATAACAAATAAATCAATAATCATTATTGTAAATAAGTTTTATGACTATTAGATTAAATCATAATATATAAAATATTAGTATTTTAACACTATTCAGATTCAATAATAAATATGAATATTCTTGTAATTCTTAATGTTTGGATAATGTAAATAAGTTACAACAGAACTTCCATCTTTTGTTCAAATATACAAATTTATTTAACATCATTGAATAGTTCTTAGTACAGGAACAAAAAATTTATTAATATCTCATATTTTTAATGTATTACTTCATTAATCAATTAAACAGAGGAAAAAATTTAAAAAAACAAACTAGAATTATAATATTTTTTCCAAAAATAAAATTTTTAAAAATTCTAGCAAGTGTAATAAAATAACTGGTTGAAATTTTTGCTGAAAAGAATTTTTTATTTTCTATATATACTAACAGGCTATTTCCATTAAAGCTATTTGTAATTGCTTAATAGTAGTAATTTTGTAAGTTTAGATAAGTAGTTAATTCATTAATATTTTTAAGAAATAGACATGTTTAG